AAATAACTTCAGCATCTTCTGTTAAAGTTTTTGAAAAAACTTTATGACAAAACCAATGAATCCTGGACAAAAAAATTCCAACTTATTTAGTGCTGAAGTTTTTAAAATGAACTAAATAACTTGAGCATCTTCTGCTGAAGTTTTTGAAAAAGCTTATCCAAGACAACAACTTATTTAGTGCTGAATTTTTTATGAATGAACTAAATAACTTCAGTCTTCTGCTGAAGTTTTGTGAAAAAGCTTAATGACAAAACTTATGAATCCAGGACAAAAAAAAAATTCAGCTTATTTAGTGCAATTACAAACAAAAATTTCAGCAAATAGAGAACAAAACTTCAACTATTATGCTATTAAGTTCAGCAATTACAAACAAAAACTTTAGCAAATAGAGAACAATACTTCAGCTACTATGTTTAAGTTCAGCAATTACAAACAAAAACTTCAGCACATTTGGTTCAGCACACTTGCTACTTCAGGCCCGTCTACTAGAATGCTGAAGTTTTGCGTGATTGTCGTTGCTACTTCAGCCCTGTATGCTGAAGTCAGTGGCGGACCCAAGATTTTATGCAAGCGGGTTCAATCTTAGAAGTATATAGCTTTAGTCGTAAAATAGTAGTTGTCAAGTGGGTTCAAATAAATATTTATACAAAATTTACACAACTTTAATCCTAATTTATACATATACACAGTATTATTTTTTTGTGAAGCGGGTTCAGTTAAACCCGCTAGCCACCACTTGGGTCTGCCACTGGCTGAAGTTACGCGAAAAAATGGGTATGCTTGCAATTGTTTTTGCAAAGCGGGCACAACTTAAAACGTAACCCAAAAAGTAGGTATAGATGCAAATCCCCCAATTAAATAAGACTTACATGTCGGTATAGGTGAGAAAAACACTTGTCAATTGAACTTTAACCTACCAAGTCTAAATTTCAATGAAGTTGAAGTCGTAATTTCAAATTATGAATAATCCATAAAGTCTATTTAAATCAAATATCGGTAAAAATAATTATGTTTCAAGGGAAATTCAGTTCTTCAAAAGCACAAGTTTACTAGATCTCACACTTATTACTACTGAGGAATACTCTCTTGTTGTTTTCACTTCTCATGTTCTTTTGTTCGCTCTTAATAAAATATTATTTAAAAATTAAAAGAATAATTTGCTTAATTACATTATTTATTCTTTGATTCTTTCTTAATTTTTATGGGTCTTTTGGTACAATGGTGGGATCTATATGAGATAGTTAATTCCACCATTTCGGTATAAAAGTTATCCCAGGATTAACTAATACCTCAAGTCTAACGTGGGATAAATTAAAGTTAATCTCAAACTTTATCATGGAATTATTGTTCTTATCCCATATACCAAACAACCCCTAAAATGACAAATATTTGGGAATAACTATTTTTAACAAACATGACAACTAAATGGGAATTGTAGTAGAATTTATATTCCAATGGTGTGGGGTCAGAGGAGGACAATGTGTACCCATATCTTCCCTATCTTGTAGAGGTAGAAATGTTATTTCCGATAGACCAAAGACTTAATGTTTACGCACTCTTTGGAATCTTCTTTTTATTTTTGATTTTAATCAGAGGCCCTCTAATAAGACTACAAAAAATACTTCCAACAAATATGGAATCACACATTAAATAGAGAAATGCAGTGTATGAAGAGTAAATGTGTAGACAACAAATGAAGCAAAGAAAGGGTAAGATGTAAATCAATATCAGCACAACAATAGTAAGATGCAGAAGATGAGTTATTTAATGAAATCTCAAACTCAGCAGCAATTCATAAATACAACAACACAAAAGAACCCCACATATTATATACAAATACATATGGAGACAAAGTGTAAGCATTAATGAAGGTGTTGGACGGAGAACACGCAAAAGGGAATTGGTAGCAAATAGCAATGAAGGAAGCATCTCTTTCTTGTGATATTTCAGAAATGGGTCCTTCGTTTTCTGGGGCTATGGCCACCCCTATCTACTAACACAAAATACTAGTATACTTTATTAAATAGATGACTATTATATTGTTTATCAAATGGATTAAAGTTTTTTTTTTTAAAGTTATTTGATTCGGTACAAATATTTACGTAAAAGTTTTCTAGCAAGCAAGCAACTCTTGTAATCGTGTCTTAGCACCACGGTAGCTCATTGATCACTAGGTCATACCATTTGGTTCAAATATACATGCATTCAAATTCTTTGATAAAAAACTTGTCTGCATTCAGTATTTACATCGAGTAAATCAATGCATGACATGACTTGTCGTACATATAAATGATTTATCACTTGACCATGGTTAGGTGATATGCATCTAACCATAATTCTTACGAGGAAATTATTTGATTTGGTATAGACATCGGACAAATAAAAGTATTTACCCCTTTTTCTGCAGAATGTTTTCTTGATATTTGCTCTCACAGTAGATAAATAAATACTCCTACTACTAGAAGTAGGGGTGTTCATGAAAATCCGAAAACCTTAACCAAACCAAATACCAAATCAAACCGATCAAAAAACCCGATACTTTTTGGTTTGGTTTAGTTTTGGTTTTAATATTTAAAAACCGATCAAATTTGGTTTGGTTTTGGTTTTAATGAAAAAAATCAAACCAAACCGAATATAGGAGTAGCTATTTTAAATTTATTATTACACATATATATATATATATATATATATATATATATATGTGTGTGTATACTTTTATACAAAGTTTCAAAATTTTTATAGTAAATGGAGTGGGGGTCTTTACCTTTACATTCTAGTTTGATTGGTATTTTTCTTTTGTTAAGTGTAAGAATCTATTTCATGTTAAAAATAATATATTTTTAATTGAGTCCTTAAATTATTCATCACTATTTGATTCAATTATCATCAATATATCTTGGTAAATAATAGATTTCTCAAAGAGCAATTGATTTGATAGTGTTACGTTAAAAATCTGGTCGTCGAAATATGTGTTTGATAGTGTATGTCTTATATTTAAGAAAAAATCCGACAAATAACCGAAAAAATTGAAAAACCGACATAAACCGAATTAAAAAAAAAACAGACTTAATTGGTTTGGTTTGGTTCTAATATCTGAAAAACTGACTTACTTGGTTTGGTTTCTTTTTAGGGAAAAATCGATCCAAACCGAACCATGAACACCCCTAACTAGAATGGGTCGTTTGGTTGGAAAGAAGTAATCTCAGGACGAATTATCCTGGGATTAATTATTCTGGGATTAGTTATTCCATCTTTCCATGGGGATAAAAAAAATACTACAATCCCGAAATAACTAATCCTGTAATTAATTATATCGCATTTTTCTACCAATCAAACATGGAATAAACTCTTTTTAAATTTAATCCCGAAATTAATTATTTTTTTATCTCTTGTACCAAACAACGAGGCCTAAGTGACCATTAGAATCAATTGCTTTGCTTTACGTCGTTCTTCAAAGACACTCCAAAAGGCGCTGCAATGCACATAAGATCTTTTCTCATGCTATGTACAGTCACCGTGAATTGTCCCCGTCTGCCGTCGGTCGTCGACAGGGGTTTTTCTTTGTGGGTTGGGTGTCTGGGGGGGTGGGGTAGGGGATGGTCTGCTTTGAAGGAAGACGTCTTACCCTAGCTAGTCTCAGGGAAATGAATGCGGTCAAATCCTTATTTTTAGTTTGGTTTTCATTTACTCTACGCCGTCCTATTTGTATATTCCATATTTGACTCGACACTGTTATTAATAAAGGTTTGTTATAAAATAAAGACCGTAAAGTAAAGACAAGTATAGAAAGAAACTGATATATTATTCGAATTCAAACTGATGTACATAATGAACTGAAATCTCTTCTATTTATAGAAGAAATGAAACTGTTGTGTAAGCTGCTACTATATCATATATGGATAATCTTCTACTGAGAGTAATGTTTATCCATAACGTAGTACTGAAAGGATAAGCTCATTGTACCAGGTATAGATAATCTTTTACTAGAGGTAATGTTTATCCATAACGGAGTACTGAAAGGATAAGCTCATTGTATCTGGTATAGATAATCTTCTATTGGGGATAATATTTATCCATAACGGAGTACTGAAATGATAAGCTCATTGTACCCGGTATGGATAATCTTCTACCGGGAGTAATGTTTATCCATAACGGAGTACTGAAATGATAAGCTCATTGTACCCGGTATGGATAATCTTCTACCGGGAGTAATGTTTATCCATAATGGAGTATCGAAAGGATAAGCTTATTATACCCGGTATGGATAATCTTCTACCGGGAGTAATGTTTATCCATAATGGAGTATCGAAAGGATAAGCTTATTATACCCGGTATGGATAATCTTCTACCGGGAGTAATGTTTATCCATAATGGAGTATCGAAAGGATAAGCTTATTATACCCGGTATGGATAATCTTCTACCGGGAGTAATGTTTATCCATAATGGAGTATCGAAAGGATAAGCTTATTATACCCGGTATGGATAATCTTCTACTGGGGATAACATTTATCCATAACCGGGTACCGAAGTGATAAGCTTCTTCAGGAGACTTATTTCCAATAGAGTATTAAATAGATAAACATATTTACGGCAGAGTCTCATATGGATAAGCTTCTTTAGAAAGCTTATTTACAACGGGATACTAAATGAACATCCATAATATAATATATTTATAACAAGGCTTTCATATTTTTTCCAATTATTTAAGAGCTCTTGATTGAAGAATAAATATTTTAAACAGCTTTTTAATACGGAATCATGTGCAATACTACTTACTCCTTTCATTTCGTGTGATGATGATGTTTGACCATAATTTATAACCGAAGTATAAAATACTGTATTTGACGTATGTAGTGTTACGACTTTGGAGTCCCTAAATCCGCTCAGTGAAACCCATATTACCGACTTCATTTAGTTCCCAAAATATTTGTTGATATATGAAGCTACTCCTTCCACATAAACGTAGCAACCATACACTAGAATACTCGAAAGGACAAACTAAAAAGAGAGAGCTAAATAGCACCTCTAAAATTGACACACCAACGTCCACAAAAATGTACCCATTAGACACACTGCTTGGCATAAATGTAGATATCATACACTCTTTTGAGAGTGTGATTAACAAAACTTGGCAATACAAGATTAAAATAAGAAAAGGACATAATTTTTTTTAAAGCTTTTCTTCCACCTCCTGCCCATCTCCACCATCATCATAGCCACTATCTCAACAACCTCCATCACCACCTCCACCATCATCATATCCACCATGTCCACTATCTTGTTTCTCTAACTAACTGCTCACTGGCAATATATAGCTTGATCTATCTGTGGAGGAATTTGCTTGATCTCTGTTCCTAGTTCTTGTTCAATTCTGTACCTGCCAAATACAATCAATATCATAACAAACGACACATGAAAACTAAATGTCCTTCTATCATTAAAAAGAATGAACTTTATGCATACAGATTGAAGCGATCCTCAAAAGTAATCAGGTTAACAGCTAAACCAAGGTGTCCGAATCTCCCTGACCGTCCAACCTGCAAAAACAATTATCAATGAGGAAATAGCACAAACAGATAGATAAGTTGATAAGCAAGACAAAGATCCGTAGCACATACCCTGTGCAAATACGTTTCTGAGTTCTTAGGGAAATCAAAATTGATAACAACATTGACTGCTTGAATATCTATTCCTCTAGTAAACAAATCTGCAACCATCATGAAAGAGCAGTGTTACTAAATCAATCAATTAACATATTAGACACTTCCCACAGGAACACATACGGATCCTGTAACAAAAAACTCTCAATGAGATTTAGGCATGCATCATGAAAGATCAAGTCAAGATTCATGTAAGAGTTAAAAGCTTAGCAACACCAAGAACATGGCAACACGGACAATGGAATAGATATTAGTGAAAGCCACAAATTCCATTTAAAGAAATGCATAAACTCCAAATAGTTATTGGTTATTGTTTTGAATTTAAATATCTATAAAATAATAAAATAAATATTTTATAATAAAAACGAAAATTTTAAAAAAAACTATCCATTCAAATTGGAAAGTAGTTTCAAGTTGTAGTTTTTAAGTTATTTTAAACTAAAAGAGTAAAAAAAATGCCAATTTAAAATATCTTTTTTTTTTTAAATTTTTTTCTTTTTAAAAATAAAAAGTTTATTTATTCAATAAATATTATTGAGAATCTATGTGTTATTAAAAGGAGAGAAAAAAGCCCCCTCCTTAAGCCATGTGGCAGCCTAAAAAAAGTCACATGGAATAAGTAGTTAATAATTAGTTATTTAATTAATAATAAGTTATTGGTTATTGTTTTGAATTTAAATATCTAAAAAGTAATTAAAAAAATATTTTATAATAAAAAAAATAAAAAAACTGTCCATTCAAATTGGAAAGTAGTTTCAAGTTGGAGTTTTTAAATTATTTTAAAATAAATAAGTAAAATTATAAAAAATTAAAAACTGCCAATTAAAATTTCTTTCTTTTTTTAATAATTTTGTTTTTCTTTTTAAAAATAAAAAGTTTATTTACTCAGAAAATATTATTGAAAATAATAGAATAAAATATAAAAAATAAAAATATATATTTTCTGTTATATTATAAAAAGAAAGTAGCATACAAAAATTTAAATAAACTAATATGCTAATTGGGTATATCACATTGACAAATAAGATGACAATTGAAACCAATTAAAGCAATACAATCTAATTTGTTCAAACAAGCCCGGCCACAATTTAATTTAATTAATATTTTTCAATATTGGCCGTGCATCGCGCGGATACGACTACTAGTACTAAATAATAAGCCGCACCTTTTAAAGAATTATTATGTATTTAGAAGTACTACTCCCTAAATAAGGATGAATCGTAGTGAACATGTGGACACATTAACAAGAATTAATAAGGAGCATATTCACCAATCACTAAGCCACATTAAGAACAGAAAAGCATAGCAAGTATGAGTACTAGGAGTGTCAAGCAGATGCATTAACCATACCAGTACAAACAAGGTTCCTGCAGGCACCATTGCGGAAGTCATGAAACACCCTGTTCCTATGATCTTGAAGCATCTTGGCATGAATGTAGAAGCATGAATAGCCCAGCTCAGTTATCTTCTTCGCAAGAAGTTCCACTCTATTTACAGAGTTGCAAAAAATAATTGATTGGTTAATTTGAAGCTGCATCCAACAAAGAACCAGATAGAAACAGGTTAGCATGTGCGCGTTGAGCTATTTAACACCTATACTCCATTGTATAACCAGGACTAACCTTTGAGAAGAGAGTGTTAAGGCAGTGAATCTTCTGTCTTTCTTCAACAAAAGCATAAAATTGTGTTATACCCTTGAGTGTAAGTTCATCCATGAGGTTGATAACATATGGTTTGTTCAAATATCTATCTTTAAAGTCCTTGACAGTAACAGGGAATGTAGCAGAAAACATCAAGATCTGGCGATTTGCAGGTATGAAACGGATCAGCTGTACAATGGAAGGTTGGAATTCTGGTGAGAGAAGCTTATCAGCCTGAAGGACAAAAGTAGACACAGTTAGAATTTGTAATCACGTACGGTGTCTTCCGAGGAAGGTAGAATTAAGAGGGTGGGAAGGGGCAGAAAACAATTTATCCAATTCAAATGAAGTCATAATGTTAGAGAAGGCTGCTACAGTATATTTTGTTCTCAAAATATAAATAAAATTGCATCTAGACTTTGTAGGTTATAACTTTAGCATTCTAAATGTCAGCTCAACAAAATTGGGCAATGATCGTCTGATTTACTTACTCAAGAAAGGATTACCTCATCCATTATAAGCATGGAGCAATCCTTCAAAATGCACACTCCCTTTTTTGCAAGGTCAAGAATTCTTCCAGGAGTTCCGACAAGTAAATGAACTGGCTGATACAGTCTCATAATGTCATCCTTTAAGCTAGTCCCCCCAGTGGTAACCATGACTTGAATTTTTAAGTGCTTCCCCAGTTCTTTACAAACTTGAGATGTTTGGAGGGCCAATTCTCGAGTTGGGACAAGAATAACAGCTGCATATGAACGCACCAAACAACAGTCAGAAATGAAACTAAAACAGAATGATCTAATTGCGCATCTAGGGTCAATACTACACCATATTTTCCTCTTAATTTGCAGGGATGCTAAATCTATGTTAGGACCAATTATAAGCTCTATCATTAGAGCACTGTATCAAACATAGCTTGCTCGTGACCAAAATAAAAAGCAACATACTCACAGCACATTACTTCATGTGAAGCAAAGAAATGTAGCAACATAGACTCTATATGATAGGAAAATGCCAGCAACATATGCTTCTAAGTTAAAACTTTCTATGGCAGGTCAAAATTTACAATATAATCTTGTCATTACACTTCTAAGTCTAAGTGACATAGTTGCTTATTAATGAGGTCATGGAATGGGCACCTGTCGAAATCTGGAAATGGCTTACATTAACTCAGAACTCTGAATGAGTCAAAAAAAATTGATAGAAGGCCTGAACTTAGCTCAACAGTAAATAAGCCAGCCCAAGTTTAAGCTCAGAACTGTTAAGATGAAACATAAAATTGAACTCAACTAGATTAAATTCAAGCCAACTTCATACTGAAAAAGAATTGTTTACGAGAGCCTTGTCCTTTTCTCTTTGGGAACAAGTATTTTACAAGCATGGGCTTGGATTTAAGTTCAAAACANTATATATATATATATATTTGCAAGAGCCAATACTTCCGGAACTTATTGTATTACTTGATATTACCTTAATTATTATACCTCCGCAATTGTAAATGAAATGCAATAAGCTCCATAGAATTAATCCAAAAAGAATTTTGTTTTAGATGATTAAAATGTGATATGGAGATACGAAAACCACTACATTACAATGTAAGAACAAGAATGGGAATCTACTTGAGGGCGGTGTTGTTAAAGGGTCATCTGAGGCGCGCTCAAGTCCTAAAGCTCGGCTAAAGACAGGTTGTGGCTTCGCCTTGCTTAAGTACCACTCAGTGCAGGCACTAAGGAGATAAAGCATGCACCTTATTTCCCTTAGCTCTGTCTCACAGAGAGCAAAAACAGAGAACGAATATAGCTGGTAGACTAAGACATGAATTGTTAAAAAGCGTTACGAATGTATTTTTTGTGATTTGGATAGAAAAGGGTAGCCCCGTGCACGAAGCATCCCCTTTCACGCAAGGTCCAGAGAAGGGCCCCACATGGATAAGAAAACAAAATTTTAGCATAAAAACTAGCTCCAAAAAAAGTAAAACTAGATCTTTTCATCTAAAATCAGAAATTTAAGATGGCTTCTAACCTAGATTTGATATAGTTTTTTACTTTACAAACTTCGCTTTACCTAGATTGATGCATTACACATTCTTTTTTAATTTTCTCTTCATGTGCTTTTCTTTGTTAAAGCCCACACTTTAGATCCGCTTTGCACTTAAAGCACCAACAACTTTGGCTTCTTTTTTTTGAACTTTTGACTACTCTACTTGAGGAGCCTAAATGAATTCAGGCCCAACTCAACTACTTCAGCAAGGGAGCTATATGCCAGATTATGCAAGCTTTACTAGCAACTCAATCCATGCTCAACACCAACTTGTGTGTAAAGCTTAGTTTACTTGCAGCCCTAGAGGCACTAGGGAGTTCACAATATAACTTTTGACTACTCTACTTGAGGAGCCTAAATGAATTCAGGCCCAACTCAACTACTTCAGCAAGGGAGCTATATGCCAGATTATGCAAGCTTTACTAGCAACTCAATCCATGCTCAACACCAACTTGTGTGTAAAGCTTAGTTTACTTGCAGCCCTAGAGGCACTAGGGAGTTCACAATATAACTTTTGACTACTCTACTTGAGGAGCCTAAATGAATTCAGGCCCAACTCAACTACTTCAGCAAGGGAGCTATATGCCAGATTATGCAAGCTTTACTAGCAACTCAATCCATGCTCAACACCAACTTGTGTGTAAAGCTTAGTTTACTTGCAGCCCTAGAGGCACTAGGGAGTTCACAATATAACTTTTGACTACTCTACTTGAGGAGCCTAAATGAATTCAGGCCCAACTCAACTACTTCAGCAAGGGAGCTATATGCCAGATTATGCAAGCTTTACTAGCAACTCAATCCATGCTCAACACCAACTTGTGTGTAAAGCTTAGTTTACTTGCAGCCCTAGAGGCACTAGGGAGTTCACAATATAACTATAAGATTCCTAGGTAAGAACCTTGAATTGCATTCTTGTCTTGATCAATTTTCTCTAAAGCAGGAATGCAGAAGGCAGCAGTCTTCCCAGTTCCATTTTTGGCCCTAGCCAAAATGTCACTTCCAGTTAGAGCAATTGGAATGCTTTCCTCTTGGATCGGAGATGGTCTCTCAAAGCCCTTTTCATAAATTCCCATAAGCAGTTCACGCTTAAGAAAGTAGTCTTCAAACTCATTTCCCTTGGTTGCTGTCACATCCTGCAAGGAAAAGTAGCAGCGAAACAATCAGTAATGCAAGTCCAAAGCAGAGGAGGATATAAGCAGAAGCTCAAATGTCATTCGTGTATGCAGAACAACCAGAAATAACCACCTAAACAACACTACATCATCACAGAAATTTTCCTAGAGCCAAAAGAAAAAAGTCAGGGATAAAAAAACACACCAAGTAAGACGGAGTGAGAACCCTGCACTCAGTGAGTAAAATATCATAACTTAGATGTTACTATATTGTGCATAACTTAGTGTTAAAACACGCAAAAGACTATAAATGTAGACTTACAATGCTATGCTACACATCATATGAATAGCCTCGCACTCTTCTAGCATTTGTGTGAATAATATGAAGGCTGTTAAAACATGTAGAAAATTAGAAATGTAGACTTAGAAATCTATGCTACATATCATATGAATAGCGCCACTCTTCTAGCAATTGTGTGACTAATATGACATCTTTCAGCTGCTCTATATAAGCAATTTGTTTTTGCTTTACAGTTCACTGTCAGACCCCACTCTCCTAATGGGTTAAATTAGGAACAAGAGCATTTGCGTGGCCCTCAAGCGCACAACTACAGAGTTAGATCAATCATAACATGGGTGAGGAAGGCCAAAGAGGGAAAATTAACAAAATACAAGCTGAACTGCCACAACTAAGGGAAAATCTCAGCAGGAGAAATGTCACTTCCTTTGTCCCAAAAAGATAGCCTACTTTCTTCGTTAATCCATCACAATGGCGATCGCTTAAAAGAAATCTTTTACCCACTTCATATAACACCAAAAAGTCCTCTGGTAACCTCCACTTATTTTCAGTACGATTTTGCATTGTCTTATTCTCCAAAAAAAAAAAAAAAAAAACAACAACTCCAGATAGAGGATCTGTTATAGTCCTCATTTAGATGTAACATTTGTTTTCTGGATTCTCAAAAATAAAACAACTCAAGGGCTGAAATCGATAGATATTTCTGCTCTTTAGGCACATTATCTGCAAGTATTCCATGACAAAATTTCAAGGGTCAAGCTAATAGTTTACGACATGCTAGTTGAACGCCTCATTTCTTACAGCATTTACTAATGATTCGAGTCTTCAGCAACAATTGATCAATGAAACTGCTTATAGCAGATGGAAAACCACTAGGTTGTATGAGACAAATAGATGAAATTGACATTGAGAAGAAGGAGAACAAACATGGTCACAAGCATGTTGTCACAAAGAGAATACAATCATATTGAAACGCACGAAAAGAGAACAGTTTCAATTTACCTCCGTTCTGTATCGAGTATCAGGTGATGGTATCTTCAACTTAGCCTTCCAATCTTGTGAACTGAATAAAGGGGACAAGAGAAGAAAAGGAATTGATTTATCACTATCCCAGCTATGGTTTAAGAAATGTTCGACAGAATAACTTTAATGAAATAATTCAAATTCGTCACTAGCGATAAATGAAAATAAAAAACGTCCTAAATCTGTCAATCAAAAATGATAAGCCAATGAAACATTTTGGGAGAACAAAAATCCTCCCTTGATATACTGTTTGCAGTTGATAAGAGAAATCATCCTTCTTTTCCTTCAGTGTTTCTCGTATAGAAGCTAAAGTCTCTTCCAAATTGCAGGCGTTTGTTGGTACCTGGCTCCCTGACCCTTGAAAGTTCCAATCATAATGACTTGAGTAAGATGGGTAAACTAAGCAAGGATCTTCCCCCTGACATTCACATTGTTGCAGCCGTCATAATGAGACTCACAACCATCTCTTTAAGCATAGTCCTACAGATTCATTCTTGGGAAAATCTGGTTTCACAAAATGCTAGGACATGATGTTAGCAGTTGAAGGTCTGATATATCGAGGAAAAAAAGTTTGGGTGTCTGGACGATTGTCTCACAATGCTTCGATTTGGTGCATGCGGACTACAACGTATAGAAGAAAATTTTTAGGGCCAAGACAGATGAACAATATTCGTCTAGGAGGAAGTAGTTTCTAGCAAGCCTATTGCTAGGCATATAATAGGAGAGCTCGGACCTAATAGGAATCATTGCATGTAGGAAAATTAGATTCGCCAATATCTTGCTTGATCAAAAAAAGAAAAAAGACTCGCCAATATCTTGGATATCCAAAAATCGCCTCCTCACAAGTTGGCTGCATATCCTAAAGTTCTTAACCAATAAAGCAAGTTAATTGCTGTGATTATTATGAGATTTTTGATGTGCTTAATTTGGTTAAGAAACCAAAACACTGAATACTCTAGCTTGAGCATAGTCATATTCATGGTCCAAGCTTATTACAACCTGAAAATAAAATGCTCAAGCTTACCTACTATACTGGAAAAAGATATCGGGCCCAACCATAGTTTATGTTGGTACACAGAGAGTCATGTACTCACACGTGATATTGTGGTCACAAGCCCTACTAATTTACAATCTATTTCTTTCCATCCATCAACAAGTTCCCTATATTGCCCTACATGATGACTCAAACTATTTAAAAAAATAAGCGATTCAGAAAAGAAGTTAGCTAGCTTTAAGTCCATGACCTGCAACACTCAAAACATCAACTATACCAATATCTCTAACTTGACCAATTTGTTCACTTCCACTTTGTAGTTTGTACACACAAAAATCTCTAATTCAGTGCGACATATCAATCATACCATATAGTAATCAACAAAAATTCTCGCCTCGATCCCAAACTAGGTGGGGTCTGACTAAGTGAATCCTCTAATTCATTACAGTACTCAATAATTTGAGTTTTAAGACAAATTAAGGGTGAACAATAAATTCTCTAAATCTTACACGTATTCATACATTCTATGCACAACAAAATGAAAATAAAGGGAGAAAATAAACCCGACCTCTGGTCAACGGCTTCGGCCTGTACAGTCTTTTCAACCTCGTCAACCGTAGAATCAGCAGATGGCGACTGATTCCTTCTGAGCCACTGCTGTGTTTGCTGGTTCTGAAAATGCTGCTGCTGCTGTTGGTGCTGATAGGGCGCAGGACCTCTCTGTATATACTGTTGAGGGTTTCTAGGTTGAAAATTAGAGTTAGTATTTGGATGCATACTCCCGCTGCCCATTCCCGGCGGTTGAAATCTTGCTCTCGGATTCATCACTAATTAGGTATCTCCAAAACCTAAAGAAATTATCCAATTGAAACACGCAACAATTATGCACGAAAACGTTCCTAGCTTAATTTCTGATTATAGCTCGTTGACAAAAGTACGATCTCCGGCAACCAACGGCGATTATATGTGCGTTCTCCGGTGACTGAAGTATTACGAAAATTCCGCTAAAAATTGGAGGAAAATTCGAAGTAGAAGAAAATGGAGGTGTAAATGTTAATCATTCACATCTCCGGACATTTTGTTTTTACTGGGTGAATCTTAATTATTGCCTATTTTTTTTATTTCACAACCACTTAATAGGTTTGAATAAGTCTGAATCTTAATTATTCAGATCTTGATTATTAAGTGTGTTTGTTTTTTTACTTCACAACCACTTAATGTATCTTGAATCTTAATTACTCAAACAGTGCGTTTGTTTTTAAAGTCTTAATCTTAATTATTCAGATCTTGATCACTAAGCGTGTTTTTTTTATTTCATTAAGATTCTATCACATATTCATTATTAACTATTATCACTGCCTACCATTATCAACTACCGTCATGCCACCACTACCATCATACTCAACCATCACCACCACTACTACCACCACTACCACCGCTACTACCACCACCACCATCATCCTCAATCATAGTCGCCACCATTATCGACCATCACCATCCACCATCCCCACCACTTCGACCACCATCATTCTCGCCCACATTCAATACTTATCCAACTCAACTACCACAACAAACCACTCCATCACCATTAACAACCACAAACGGACACCGCCCATCGTTATAACCTACCACCACCTTCCTCAATCACAAACCGTCGCCCGCCATGATTAACTAACACCACCCATCACCACCATCCTCAATCATAATCGCCACCACTAACAATCACTACTATCTACTAGCATGAACCACCATCATCAACCAAAACTACCACCAACCACCCCCTCTAGTCGGTATTCACCGATTAGCCATCATCACCAATAACTATCATATTTTAAAAAACCATATATTTTGTTGATAGAATATTAGATTAGTTAGTATTTTATGTTTATTATTTTTTAAATAAAGATAAATTTTATGTATTCAGATGTTAAAAATCAAACAGTCTTAATTTTTAGTATTTAAATCTTAATACATATTTTAATATATTCAGATGTGTATTCAGATTCGAATGTCTTAATTTTAATACACATCTTGATATTAAGATGTGTATTCAGACTCAGACGTGTTAATTTTCAAGAAAACAAATGAGGCCTAAAAGGGCGTGGGGAGAGATTTGTTAAAAACCTAAAATCACTAAGGCATGAATGTATTTATAGCTTTTTGCGGGCATTAAGCAATAGAGCTCTTAATTTACTAGTGGAAACTCTTTTAAAATATATTAATTATTTCAAACTGTGATATCTGTTATTTAAGCATATTATATTACATTACTTTAAAAAATAAAAATTCAACTTCCATTTTGATTTTTAATATAATATATCTAATAAAAAAATCTATATGTAATTAAAGGAAGCAGATCATAATCGAATANATATATATCTTACTCTTGGTATCTTTTTCTATTTTATTCTATTTTTCCATTTTTGTGTAAATGTACTTACTTTATTTTCAATTAATTCAAAGTATAAATGTCCTCGTATTACCTCTATTTTCCTATTTATACATTTTTCAAAACTACGTGATATTTTAATTAGTTTTCGCATCTAACATTTTTGCATATAATTAGAATAATATCATATTTAGTACTAATTTGTGATATTGAATTTGTCCAAACTAAAATCAAATTTGTTATTTTATTATAATATCTACTAATAATTTTTATTTTTATATTATGTGTCATAACCAATTCAATTCTTCTTCTCTTTTATTTCAATACACAAAATGCAGTTTCACAAAAATCCCAAAATTCGAGGGAGAAATCATACAAATATTTTCTTTACTATCCTAATCTATGTGAACAATATGAACTTTTACCTTGTCTCTTACATTGAGGTCAAACCAATTAATAAGTAAGTTCTAGGAGTATTGCACCCTCATAATTATTTGTTTCTAAGCACCCTAATCTATTGCACCCTGATGAATTTATAATTCTAAATATAAATTGTATAGTTTTACTCATGGATCAAATTCACCTACCTCACAACTCTTTGGGGGTAGTTCTTTCAGCAAAAAATTATTACCAAAATTTTGAGCAAAGTAAGCATACGACGATTTCGAAAATAAAATCTTAAATTTTAAAAAATCACTTATACAAGTATCAATATAATTTTTCTTGCAGAAGATGCTTGTCATTTGATGTCATAGTTTCCCGTTCCCACGTAGATCCAACTGTATTCATCTCGTACCTTTGAGAAGCCAAATAGGTCAAATAGTTAGATGCTCAACACCATTTGTTTTACAAATAAAATAGCGTCTGAAACAACTATTTAAAAAAAAGCGATGAGCACTCACATAAATGCACTTTTAATTAAAAATATTTCACTTATCAACTATTACAATATTAACTCGTGACTCTATTCTCATACATAGACCCCTGTTAACCAAATCTCAGATGAATATTTGCAGAAAATTTAAATTAGCAACTTCAAAAACTAAATAGAACACATTCACTTTTATAAGCCACCAATTCACAATTCATGATTCAATCTTGAAGTTCAATCTTTATTTTTAACAAAAATATATCATCGAAAAAAATAAAATTATTTATTTTTCTGGAATCTTAAAATTGCATTTAGAACATAATCATACCATCATCCACAGAACCTCAAAATACTTCTTTTAATGATGTGGATTCTTCACTATGCAATAGACTGCATCATTGTGGCCATCTGTTGCTTCAATGAATGGTCTTGAAAAATCTGAAAAAATCAAATCAAAGATCATAATAAGAAACTTAGAGTAGGGAAAATAACTTTCTCTAGTAATTTTATTGTATCTACGATACGAATATATTTAATTATCTTCTCTCGATCAGTTTGATAACTTTTAATTTGGACTCCTTTGTGATCTTGAGACTTCTAGGTAATCTTAATACTCTCTCCTGAAGTAAAAGCCGGTTTTGAATCTTTTATTTTTGCCTCATGAAAGATTTTAAACTTGAGCATTTCTTTCTCTTTTGTAAAATATGTCACCACTGCAATAAATAATTTTTTCCATAATATAGTAGTTCTTCATCGTAGTAAATATCTCCTTGCTAGATTATATAATATATTCTAAACCTTATTCATATAATATTTTCTTCTTTGTCTTATTTTATATAATGTGGCAAGTCTCAGCGATCATATATTGTTATATGATAATGATATATTTTTTACTTATTATTCGATTTTTGGTCAGTAACATGTTTCAAAAAAAGCTTTTTCCGTCCATTTTTACGACAATGTCAATAGAATATCTTATACATCATTTTTTCATTACCTAATTATTTTGTGAAAGTTGCATATTTCAAAGAAAAAGTATAAGAATCTCTCTTGCCATTCTCTTAATTATATTGACTCAAAGTATTAATTCAAATTTTGAAAAACCTGTCAATAGGAAAAGGTATTTGCATAAATTTTACTTAGAGCAATAATATAGAAGATAGATTAGTTTAATATAATACAAATAAAAAATAAAAATTATTTCAAAAGCAAGGGATATTGGATGTGAACTGTCGATTCTGCCTAGGTTAGATACTATTTCCTTATATTATGTTATCTAATTAATGCTTACTTTATTACCTCTTTTGAAGAAAACAATGAATATTCATTTCTGTACGTTGTTTTCTCTAATTAATACTTACTTTAGTTCCTCATTTTAAAGTGCATCATGAATATTATTTGTCATATGGTAATTATAAATATGGTAATTATAGTTCCTCTTTTGTTGATCGTCATAATTTTTGTTGCTTCAAAATTTCGATGCTAAACATTCTGGTAATCGTTAGATTTTTGGTGCTTCAGAATTCTGGTAAGCGTGTCTTAAAATTCTAACGCGGAGTAATTTTTTCAAAAAAAAAATAATGAAATCAAAATATACATAGTGGTTAAAAAAGATCCATCCAGCCTACTTTTCAGTTACTAGTACTAGTACTTCTTTTTTTAGAGACAAAAATTACTGTTTATTAATCATTGGACAGACGCACTTTGGTGTTGTGTGCTAGAGTTGTATGTATTTTAGTAAGCCAACTAATGATTTCAATATTTGCTTTTAAAGGGGCCGGATTGCAAGTTGATAAAGAATAAAAAAGAAAAAATATATAAAGAGACACACTGTCTATCTCACACCCCAACTTATCAGGTGACCATATAGACACTTTATATTTGGTTTTAGTGTATAAGGTAAACACACGTGTTTGGAAGGTATAATGCGTTAGATACAGTCGCTCCTACATTCTTTGCCTTTAATTTTGTTTCGTCCTGCAGTCGTTAGGCATTAGTGTTGGAAGGTATTGATATCAATCAGAGTGGTCTTTGAAAACAAATAACAGAAGAGATTTTATTAAGAGGTATTAACATTCCTACTGTTTGTTATCTCTTTTTCATGCGTTTGTAAATAAGATTTTTGTTATTTTGGGAAAACGTTTACTCTATTACTGTACCCTATTAAAGGGAGGAAATGTTTTGGCTTTTTCATCTGTTAAAGGATAGGGAATCTTGACCTTTATTTCTTATCTTTTTCAGAGTTTGTTCACATGGGTGGCTCTATTATTGTTGTTTTTCACCACGGGGGTAGGGTTATTGAAAGACAATATGTTGGGGAATTGGAAAGGGCTTTCTTTACAATAGATAAAGACTATTTCTCTTTGACCACACCAACGACCCAGTATAATCCCACAAGTGGGGTCTGGGAGGGTAATATGTACGCAGACCTTACTCCTACCCCGAAGGGTAGAGAGATTGTTTCCAGGAGACCCTCGGCTCAAGAAAGCAACAAGAGATGATATATTAGTACCATAAAAACGCATAATAAAATAACAGCAATATAAGAGATATGAAATACAGAATACGAAATAGATGGCTGGTATAGTAAAAACTAGCACGTAAATCCCTGCATCAATAGACCACCAATGACACTATTTCTCTTTGACCGAGATGAAATATTACACTAAGGATATTGGTATGATAAATTTCAAGGCTTTTATGTCAAAGACCCTATCCATTTTCAGTTTGTTGCATTGAAAACTGACAGCCAACTATAAAATATTGTTAAAGACTTGCGTACTGGGTCCATTATTGACCTGCATGTGAAACAAGTCATGATGGA